AATAGAATTATGTTTGAGGTAAGTCTTCGCATTTTGTATTTACTATTCATTCCAAAAGTCACTTCGTCGATGCTTATTATTTAAGTCACGTCAATTTATGTACACGTAATTATGCATAAAGATTATTATTAAAAATATTATAATTCATAAATAATTAATGTTATAATTCTTTATACTAGGTTAGGATTCCCCTATTCCATATTATCAGATCAAGGGAGGGAATTCAACAACACAGTTATTCAGAAACTGCTGGGTCTATTGGACGCAACACAAAAAAATACATCAGCATACCACCCCCAATGCAATGGTCTCACTGGTAAATTCTGCTTTATATAACAACGATAAAGTTTATTGGGAACACGATTAAGGCGCTCGTTTTGATAAGTTATCAATATCATTTTTATTAGTCGATAAAACGAACGTTTAATAAATGATTTAATAAAATGCTGATTGTATCATTTCCAACAACCTTGTAACTGAGGCATATACAGGGCGGGCCAATCAAAATTGGAACATTTTTCTATTTATTCAATTGTCTTTATTTTGGCAGTTCAGTCCACAAAAATTCAAATAATGGTAAAATCATTATTTGTGAAAATGACTGTCAAATACAGCCCAGAACATGTTCAGGAAACCCTTGCGTTGAGTAAAAAAAACTAGAACATTTTTCCATCGATTGTGACTTTTTTGTTTTTCATGTATCATCTTCAATACCTTAGAAAATTGAAAAACAATTCATTGTCAACGGCATGTGTGAATATGAATATATACAAGCTCAACATGCCCTTACACACCTGAACAATCAGTCTGAGCTGTATTTGACAATTGAATGAATAGAAAAATGTTCAAATTTTTATTGGCCCACCCTGTACGTTGCAATGAATATTTATATATATCCGATTGAACGTATTTCTACTCCAGAACGCTTCAATCAAACCCTTGAAGGTATGCTTCATAAAACTGTAGCAGATACGGGAAGGCCATGGGACTGCGTTCTCCCAGAAGTCGTATTTGCCTACAATACCAGTGTACAGGCCTCAACCAAGTTTTCGCCATTTTTCATTGTATATGGAAGGTAAAAGTTGAGGGACTTATACCCATAAAAGGAAACACTCTGTTTTCTAAGAAATTATAATAACACACAGTGTTCAAATCGTATTTCTTCATACCAAATACATGCAGTGAAACATGTATATTAAAACACCTAGAAAATCCGAACGAATCAATATGAACTTGTTTTTCATCTATTGGATCTGCTCTGGTGTCATCTGTTCTTGACTAAACGTCTCCTTCGGTCCTTCGAAGTAGTTTTTAAATTAATACATTTCAATAGCTAATTCATAATTGCGTTATAAATTAGGCAACCTGTTCTGCCACAAGATGTTAATGGGGATGTAGAAGCTGGCCCAAGCAATGTGGATGCCGCGTCAACATCAGCTGTAAATGCCATTGCCACTGCTAGGGCAGAGGTGGGAAAAGTGGTCCAGGCAAATGTAGAAAGCGCACAAAAAAGCTAGGCAGAAAAGAACTATGATTTGAGAATGAAGCCATACTTTAAGGTAAGGTTATATTCAAAATGTGTTGAGATCGAAATTTCCCATAGGCCTATGTCATCCATGAAATAAAACGTTAAACGTATCCATTGTTTAATTCTAGGAGTTGAAGATAGGAGCATTGGTGCTCAAAAAGAATTCCAGGAGAGAAGATAGGAAGGGTGGGAAAACGGCAGATAGGTGGCTTGGACCGTACGTCATCACAACTCGCAGTCAAGGGGGGCTGTATTACCTCAGGCCTTTTAAGGGGGGGAAAGCGTTGGCTCGCGGAGTGGCAGCTGCCAATCTTAAGCCATATCTGAAGAAACTCTAAAGGACGATGATGGCAGTACCACCTCTGACGTGTCTCAGGAATTCTAGACTTCTCGAAACTCACCCTGATATACATGTAGTTAACCAATTCAAGTAGTATTGTAATATTTTGCCCGTGAATAAAAATATGACATGTAATATTTATGTGTTGGATGTGAAAACTTGAATTGAAAGGTTGACATATTAACAGACTACGGTAAAATAGTTTACATGGACTTAAATTTCTGACAGGCACCTAGGAATACAAGTCTGCCTCGGACTACTCATCCTAGGCATAGGACATACCGTCCTAAGGAAAATATGTCCGACGGACTTATTTTCCTAGGTATGCAAGTCCCTGGACTTATTTTCCTAGGACTTAGTGTCCGACGGACCTGTATTCCTAGGAAAATAAGTCCATCGGACATAATTTAGCATGGACATGTGAAACTGTCACACCGGCTAATGCAAATGTACGACGTGTAAGGCCAGAACAAAGGCGAATGAAACTGGTAACTACCTACTCGCATTTGCGTTATTAGACTAAGTATAGCGCTTGTTTTGTATGCGCGCTATTTACATTACTGTATTGATTAATAGTATAGTTTCCATATAGCTTTTGAAATCTCGCTAAATCTTGTTTTTCGTGAGATTTTAAGAGATTTGCATATTTAACTTCTAATGACTTACATTACCTTCTTTTAAATGGCATATTTGTTTCAGTGAAATGTTTTCCCCTAGAATAGCTTTGATTTGCACAGTTATGTAATTTGAATAATTTTCTATGACAATTTAAAAAAACTTGGGCCAAATCTCCATAGATGCAATGCTAAAAATCTTTAAAACCCTTGATTATTTGTATGTCAACCAACATTTGCACGTTTAATCACAACACGTTCATAAACAGGGTCATCATGTGGTATATCATCCAAGTTTTATACAGATTCAACTAACACTCTTTGATAAATCATGAAATTAAGCCACTTTTCCAAGATTTTAGCATGTAAGTGAAGGGAGCTCTAGCCCAAGTTAAAAGCTGAATAAAACATGGCAGCACTAGATTTCATTGCTTTTTCTGCTATTTAGAAACTATCCTATTGGCTTTGCGTTCACGGGTACGTTGCTTAAACTGTCTATTTTCCGTATGCCTTACGCAATCAGCCAAGTAAACAGTACAAATAGGAGAACTAATCCACGGAGGACCATACGTCTATCTTTACCATGCACGCAGAGTCTAGTTAAACTACAAGCACTCTTTTAAGAAGTGAAGACAAACGAATGCAAATGGTATTCTATCTTACTCTCAATATTAAGAAACCCCATGCAAATACTGCACATTATAATTCTAGATGAAGCACCCATTCGTGATTAGTTTGGTAGCTGCTGTGGTGATAGTATCATGTGCCAGACATGGTGAAGCACAGCCCAACGAGGCAACAGAGGACGTCCTGTTGAGCTTACTTACCAGGTACGTCTTTGAATTAAAAGTCAACTAACAATGGCTGAGAAGGCAGCCCCCCCCCCATCTGTCCCGTATCTGCCGTTGATCTACGCGACAGAAATTGACCAGTTTTTTTGTAAAAACCGTACCCCTTGAAGAAACGAGTATGACGGGCCTGGCTCTACAGATGGCGCTTTTGTAAAGGTGGAAGATTGATGGTTGATTGAATTCAAATTTTATCATTGCAATTAAATGCGAAATCAAATGTTCAGGTCCTGATGAGGGGCAAAATCTTTGGGGTTGGAAAAATTATAACCCTGAAACATTGTATTTCTATAAGGATTTTAAATGAATTAAAAGCAAAAAGTACATGCTTCATATGAAGCGAGCGACTGATGAAGAGACATAGCCGTTGAGTACATGCCAACTTTTCAGTACTGTTTTTAGCACACACATGGACTTTCTTAAAGGGGCAACAAGAACTGTAGAGAGAAAATTCGATTTTTTTTTTATTTTGTCTGAGTTAGTAGGTCAATTTTGGCTCATCATCTTCTTTGACATACCTATTTTCTTAAAATGTATGGATAAACTCTCAATTTCAGCATTAAGAAGTGTAAATTCAGTTCAAAGCTTCTATAAAGGGAGTCCCACTTATATATTTTTAAGATTCACCAAGTTTCAAGAGGAATATCAGCTACACTAATTGTTGCACCTTTAATCATAGTAGAGTGCATTTTATATTAACCTTTGATAGCCAAATTATCATGAAAATGGGCCTTAAATTTTCAAAATTTGGGCCACCTTTTTGGTTTTAGGCGTCTAACATTTTTTCCGATCCGCCCCTCATACTCCATCCCACAAGTTTGGCAGTTGGTAGTTTTCTTGCGGATCGATCACGTGTCAAAGTCTGACTATGTTTGGCGACATAAAAACATCACCAAAGTCATAAATCCAAACTTTTGTAATGAAGAGGTAGTCTAGCGTCAAGCCCTTTTGTGAAGTTCAGTCAAGTAGAGGAGGGGGTGACAGAGTAGCTAGACTAATGAAGAAGGAATAAAATTCAGAATAAAACATTGATAATCTTTGATCGATTGACTATTGAACGAAAGCCTCTAGTTGCACAAACTTGTGAAGGGCATATTATATACAAGTGTTTTATTTTATAGGATGCTTCTTGACCGTGAGCAGGAATCTCTGCACACAAGGGCATCAATGACGGGAACTGTCAAGTGGTTTAACGAAGCTAAGGGTTATGGGTTCATCGCACCTGACGACAAAAGCGCTGATGTTTTTGTGCATTATGTAAGTTTTCTATTGAAGATTTCGGAAAGGTCTGACCCGATGGTTTATTTGCTATATAGAGAAATTGATTAATAGATGGTGGCACGTGTGTTGGTAGGCCCAGAAGACTTTTCATAATATTAATCTTGATTGTCAACCAATAATTCAATTTCGATTTATGTAAAATATATTTACTACCATACTATAAGGTCTTGTTTACATGTCGATTGTGATTTAACATTAAAATTCTGAACCTTAAAAGAGTAAAGAATTTTAAAAGATTATTTAACATTGTGTCAATGAGAATTTAAAGGGACAATACTGGAAATCGGGAATAATTCCTTAGAAAATCTTCAAAATAAATCGTTGGTGCCTCAAACCTGCCCCTAAGAATGGCTACGACGTGAACTTACTTTTGTTAAAATACCGGAGCCTGAAAAAAATCACTCACCTAGATATCAACGAAAGAAGTGTCAGTTTCGTTCGACTGCGAGAGCAAAATTGAAGCTGAGCTAAACGGTTTTCGTTTGTCGTAAAATTGACCTCATTTAACTGCGCCATCTGGCGAATGAATCATTGTTTCGTGTCATATGATTCGTTGTTTTGTGTCACGTGACCTACCTTTAGACCTTTTGCCACCTATCGTAAGTTAATCGAATTAAAATTAAATTTTTCGATCCAAGAAGAAAATTTGCACAAAAATTATAAACCCCGCTTGACATAATCTTTGTCACTCTATCGTCTTCTTGATGAGGCACATCGGAACTTGGGATTAATAGCCATTCAACCAAGCCACAAAAAGTATGTATATTAGTTGTTTAAGATGTTCAATTGTGTTAATATTTCCCGGAACTCGGCCTTTAACAGGAAAATTGAATAAGTGTATTGCTATAGTAGAATATTTACACACAGAATTAAAATATTCCATCAAACAGAAGAAAATGTTGATCTTTAAAGGCAGAATCAGATCTATAGGGGGTGACAAATTTAAAAGCAACTTTTATAATTGACCTACCAATCTATTCCTTACAATATCAAATACAATATCTCCCAAAAGATTCACAATACAGGGCGTCCGGAAAGTAAAGATACAGATGCTCTTATTTTAAGAGATTTACTTGTTTTGAGATGAAATTGCTCCAGAATGTAGAATGACATTATAAGAATATATCCTGCAACTGTCATGACTTTTAGTTTCAAAATGAAAAAGTTATGGTTGTTATGGTTACGGGAGCCGAGGGTATGTGGAGCAACGTCACTATAGTGCTTTACAAATCTCTTTCCTGCTCATATAATCTTAGCACTACACCGTCTATTCCTATGTTATATCAAATTATGTACCACAACAGCATAGGGATTAGTAATGTAACATTATTTGATAATTTCATATGACTACTATCATTGAATATTCAGTATTTTCTCCATTATCTATACATTCTTGGTGCATCTTGACCGGTGATTCAAAGACCGGACAAAACCGCTGCTGTCCATCTCTCAGATTGCTGATAACATTGGCTTCCAGCTGAGTCTCATTTGTATGTTGAACTTTTTACAAATATTGCTTTCAAATGGTCATTAAGGTAGAAGTCTAAAGAGGCTTTATCAGGTGAAAATGGGGTATTGTGTAGAAAGGTTTAATGTCATGACACTCCATTGTAAGATTTGTTTTTTTGCTTTGTGAATTGGTGCATTGTGGAGATGCAATATTGACTTTCCTACTAATGGCCATGGACCATTCTTCTAAGCACTTGTATAATGTTTCTTTCATTTTACTGGTTAGTGACATAACATAGTTCTGATATGTGCCAATGACATCATTATATAAAAGGAAACACTATGGCAGCAATAATACAATGATGAACAAAACAAAACATAGATAGAAAATACAACAAAAAACACTGTTTCAAATGGTTGTCTTTTAGCAATTTTTCACTTTTTAGCGTTGTTCTGGAACTGCTCCACATACCTCTCACATCCGTAACCATAACAACCGTAACTTGAACACATTTAGAATATATGTGATGAAAGTTTGTAGATATATTGTCAAATTGTTCCTCTACAATCTGTAGCAATTTCATTTCAAAAAACCCAAATTTCTTGAAATAAGAGTATTTGTATCTTTACTTTCCGGACACCCTGTATGTTATAAATTGGTGAAGTTATTCATGATTCAAAGTTCAAAAATGGGTGGAAATTGTTTAAATTTTCCAAAATAATAAGAATGGTAACCATTCTTATAGAAAAATAATACATTATTGTAAAAATCTTTAGTTTTCCTTGAAAAAAGTATGCACTTTTGTGATTTTTAGAAAATAGACATGACAAGGAATGACATGAGCCAAAAATATTCTAAAATTGAGACAATTTTTTGTTTAGCCTGCTTGCTATATCTGATTCTCTCTTTAATGGTTCTAAATGCAGATCTCCTAAACTCTCGTTAAAACGAGACTTTAACAAGATTTCAAAGCAAGTGATATGATAGACTAGAGGATATTCACTGGAAATGTTCTAAGCGTTTTTCGGCTCTTAAAAAATTCATTTCGATCAAAATTGTCAAAATTATAATTATGACTTTCGTAAATTAAAAATGTCGTGTAAATGTATAGTATCTACATTAATGTTAAAACTCATGAGTTCTTGATTTTCCTAAATATGTTTTTACCAACTAGGTAAAAACGACGTAAATTATACATGCATTCTTTATATATCAGATTGTTCTAAATTGATTTATATTCTTTTCCAGACTGCGATTCAAGTATCAGGCTTCAGGACGCTTTCTGAGGGACAAAGGGTATCTTTCGAAGTTGAAAATGGTCCTAAAGGACGCTCGGCCTCGAATATAGTTCCCTTAATATAGATAGGACTCATTCAAGAAGAGGCACGAAAGTAGTCTGACAGCAGAGACAATGTTTTACCTTGATTAACAATTTGTTTTGTAATAACACTGAATTAATATAATGGCATATAGCTCAAACAGCCACTTTATAACAAAATTAGAACTTTAACAATATTGTTAACCTACGTATATGTAGTTACATGTATATCTGCGATTGCTGTATTGTACATAATATTTATCAACGCATCAGCGACAATTACTAGAAACATTGTATGTATGATTATATGCAATACAGTAGATGTATCTAAGAATAAATGATCTTGTTAATTATATGCAACAGTGTTTCTCTGGAAATTTGGCACTCGACAGAATCGGACAGACCTAGAGATGAGGGTTGACAAAACAATGCGTGATTGAACTATCAAATTACCATCGAAAATATATAAGATCCATGATTACCTTTAAAATGTTATAATAAGTAAGTAAGTAATTTATTTTTGTCTCAAGCACTAAAATTATTACTTTATACATAATATTACATTAAAATGATACATAAAAATTAAAACGGTGCCCGGTTGATGTCGACCTATGAGAGACAATGGAGTGTTAAGGTGCCGTGGTACTTAAATGACAAAACAGGAAGTGACAAAACAATACTGGATTTCAAACATTTTTGGAACCAAGATAACAGAGTTCTGTGTTGACATCCAGTCGGTTTAATTAGTTTCACATGTCATTTACATGACCAGGATCACAATGTACATGGTCAAATGACCCTAAATATGATGAAATGACCTTTTCGGTCTTCTGAAAATGTGACTGAAAAATAGCTAAAAATAGGCGCTTAGGGAAGGTCTCTGAACAGATTCTTTGGAATTTTTCAGAAAATGTGCTCAATATATTGCTCTAAATGATACAATCTTTGAAAATTTGATATCATTCATAGAAAAAGGAAAAAATGAAAAAATGAATTGAAAAGCGATCTATTTTCCTTTTTATGACCGCCATTTTTGTTTCAGACAATTTTCAAAAACTTGGACAGTACTTTTATCCTATCTGAAAAGGCCCAGGATAAATACGTACTTATCAATACGATGTTAGAATATAATTTAAAAGTTGGTCTGCTCACAATGTTATCACAGTCTGTACCTCGACATGATAATTAATTATGTTAGTTGTATGCCGATGCTGCCATCTATTTATATATTTATATAGTAAACGGTCAATTAGCCAGATTTGAGGAACGATCCACTAAAGACAATCAGTGGATTGTCATCTATATGCGTCTGAATTATCAAATAATGGATGATGTTTGGCCTAACTCATCTATGATATTTTCATATATTAGGTAAATACACATAAATAACCAACTCGATATAAACGTATAAACATAAACGTGTCCATTATTAGTGTTCATTTAAGCGTTTTTCGGGCTTATTAACCAACTAACTATTTGCCAGAACTATTTATACAGTTTATGAATGGAACATGTAATATCAGGTTTATACATGTGTCTTCCACGAAGGGACACCTCCTACAAGTTAAAACTCTCTCTTCACCCCCCCCCCCCCCCCGCCACTCTTGTCCATCCCAGATTCTTTCTTCTTCCAGTGATTAGCTCAAACTCAAAACTGAACCCCGTGAATCATCGAAGTGTACATCGTCAAATTGACACATATCAAGTTAACACCTCAATTGGCATACACCTTTCAATGGAGATTTCCTTCGAATTAATACCATTAGGAGTAACCCCATCTTCACCGAACGTCGTTCTATTGGTCAACAATCTCGTGAACATTTCTGCTGTGACCATGCCAATGCCATTATACTTTACAAGAGCGACTAACTTTGCTGCTATGCGTACCCATGTCTTTTCTCCAAAATATGTTAGGACTTCATACAAATGAAAAAAAAAAGATTTCTATACACACGAACTTATACGGAGCTTTGTGATAGAAATGGTAAAGTATTACCCAACAGAGTTATTTCAGAATATCTTTCCTATATTCCTACATGTGCTTGATCGTGGTTTCGTGATTCTTTTTGATAATGTTTCATTTTCTCGTCTTAGAATGGATAAAGAAGAGTTGACAAAGGTCATCAAGGATGAACTCTATTAAACAGTTACTCATACAAGAACCTCTTTAATAAAATAGTGATGAAGAAAGTCCTATGAATGGAAAACACTGTGTGTACCATTAGCCCTAATATGTCCTTTGTGTTTGTTCTCGTAATTCTCATGAAGGATTCGTCCATTCCCGTCATTTCTGTTACCATAGGGATCAATTATTCCATTCCCGTTTTCAATATGATTTCCATTGATGTTATTCATATGTGAACTGTTTCCATTCGAGTGATTTATTTTGTCAGTTCCTGTTTTAGTATCAATTGATTTGATTTCAGACCTTATGATGTCAGTTCCTTTGACATCTCCATCAATGTCATTTCCATTGATTGCATTTTCCAACTTGGTGGTGTCAGCTTTGTTTAACAATCCACAAGAATCGTTCCCATTGGTGTTTATTGTTTTTATAGGCTCATTATGTCCATTTGTTTCATGTTTGAATACATTGTTCTCCGTACCTTTGCACATTTTCTGCTGTTTGTATCCTAGAACATCACAACAGCAAAATATCCCGCATGCTACATATAGCGTACTGCCGAAGTGTCCATACAAGGTGCATCCTTCTCGGACGTAAAGCAAGGTCCCGGGATCGAACTCAAATTTGTTGCCGTTTGAAGTTATAACGATGCATCCCTTGCGCTTCTCCAGCGCATGTACTAGGTCGGCGTCGATTTTTGATATCAGTGTTTGGTCGCATTCGAGGCGCAAAATGCAACCTTGGGCGACATGGGCATCACTTTTCTCGACCACGAACGCCTCTGTGTCTATTCCCATATGGATGGTGCAATTTTCATTGAATGTGAACATAACACCATAATTGGTGTAAATTACGCACCCAATCATCGAAACGTTCTTTTATAGTATTCCGACTATATTTATTTGTTAATTATAAAGTATTTTATACAATAAGATCCTTTTATTGTTTGTGAATGATCTCATCAGTGAATATTCCGTATCTTCTTCCAAGTTAAATGATTATACTCTATGGTTAGTGATATTAACCGGAATAATATCTGACAGTGTACACCTGTTCACTGTTTGGTAATTGATCATAATATGGAAGGAATTTCAAAAAGTTCATTGAGTATTCCAATCTCGGCGATAGCGTCCATTTGTGCCAAATCAACATCTTACGTCTACCACGCGTTTGCACCGGGGTTCAAATGTCGCCATATTTCTGCAAGCAAAGGTGAAAATGTCCTAAAATCATCACCGTTTGCCAATTATACACAATTAGCTGGACAGTCAGTGTATTTTTATGAGAAATAAATAGAAGGAATATTTGGCAACTTTACAACTTAACTTGGCAGTAATTGGACGAATTGTGTGGAATCTGTAATGTATGTTTTCTGGACACTTTCTCAATTCTGTCAATACTATACAATATGTAGTTATGTACCACTAATTATTTAACCAGGCCTCGTCAAGATTTTCCCGAAATATTTTAATTCGGAAATTTTGTCATTTGAATTGTGTAAATGAATTCAAACATAGCATTATGAATATTCCCTGGACATAATTATTTTTTTAACAGGACATTCTCGCTGTAAAACAAAACTACGCCCTCATTGATACGTTTCAACATCTGATATTGCGTGTGAATTTTTGGGTTTAGCTAATTGAATGCGTTTCTAGAGGTATTTCTTTCTAATTTAGGAATACATAAACTAAATTGCAGTTTTGATATGGTATTACAAATTGTTCATTGAATGCACCTTGTGGATGTTTCAGGAAATGTGCCATCGTAATGATTTAATTGGACCATGGACTTCTTATCGCCATTTGAAGTCCATGATTGGACCATGGCCATGTACGTTTGAGCTGAGTTTGTACTTAACGAGCCCCGAGCACTGGCTGTGCAAGCTGACGCAATGCTTCATTACATATTTCTGGCTATTTATATATTATAAAACAAAACATATAAAGTAGAGAATGTAGCATTAAATAAATACATAGAGAATCAAGAAATAAAAATTACTAAATTCATTTTTTCTCTTTACCCTGGGCGCATAGTCTAGTTATAAACTACGAAGCTCTCTTTTGATATTTTGAGAAGCGAAGTGGGACGATTGCAAGGGGTGTTTTCTCTTATATCTTCTTATGATAAGTAAGTTTCTTTGACTTCCCAAAAGCTGCATGCTTTGAAACGTTTGTGCAGTTTATATATTTCTAACTGAAATCGCCTTGCCTCATTTGGGTTAGATTTGAGAGCCAAGCAAACCTAGCTACTGCGTTAACATTATCAAGAAGACAGTGATTTCCTGGCAGAACAAAAATTCCAGGTGCATATATTTTCGTATAATGAACGGTTAACAGGCTCATAAAAATACGACTTCAAATTAACTTATAAACACCGCTAAGTTGCACAAATTACACGCTTGTACCTGTCATATTATGTTATCATTATTTCCTAATTAAAGGTAACAGGTAGTCAACATGTGTTTTTAATTGCAATTTAATGATTTCAGGTGAAATCTGAGGTCAGGTGACTCATTTGTTACACATATGAGTTAGTTAAACGATCCTTACTATGTTTCGAGTAAACACATACCAGTAATTTATATCCTCTTAATTACGTACTATTACATCGCCCGAAGTTTTCTTGAATGAATACTTGTTTTGGCGACGTCATACAACCCACGCTACGCAATACAACCTATGACTCCGGGAGTTGCACGGACTGTAAATGCATCAATCATTTGAAGGTGGAATTTGTCACGCAAGAATGAATAAAATGAAAGCGACATTTACGACTGAGGAACAAATAATATATCTATCATTCAAATATAACATCAACATGAATAGTCACGATATGTTATCGAATGGGTAATATTCAGCTTTAAGAATGTGTCTCTACCGAGTCATTTCTCAAATTACGTTTTAATTCCAGATATAAGCTTGACTTACTAGAGAGTCCCCATTCTATATTTTTTACGAATTCACTTTGTCTCTACTGTTACGTTCGAAAATAACAGAAAGTAAAAACAGCAATTAAAATATAACAATGTACAGTAATATATTTTAATAAAAACTAAATGCGATGACAATAATATATAAAAGTCAATACTTATGATACGTAGATGTAGAGAAATGATACGCCTGTCTCTTGATGTCGATAAATATCCTTAACGATCCTTGAGAATGTTCCAGATCACGAAAGTTTCAATAATCGTTAATAGTTCTCCAATGTTTGTAATAATTCAATAATGTTCGTCGTAATCCTATAATGTTCGTATCCAATAATGTTTGACGATAATCCACAAATGTTTAATGATAATCCGCAAATGTTTATGATAATCTGCAAATGTTTATGATAATCCACGAATGTATATGACAATCCGTATATAGTGTGTGTTGTAATATATGTCCATATAAGTTCCTCAGGTTGTGTGTTTGTAGTATTATAAATGTTCCCACAGTAGGTGTCTGTAATATTGCGCTAAGAAGATGTCCTTTGATCAACTTTGAAATTCTGCTTACAGCCCAAATCAGCTCTCTCATTATATAGTTCAAAGGCAAAGTCCAGATGTTTCAAGAAGTTACGATTTCTAGAAAATAACACTGATTGGACATCTTAAGTCACATGATTCAATCTTGTTTAAATGATTAAAGTTCCAGTACTTTCTAGAAGGCCAAGAGTTAATGAGTCATTCAGTTCAGTTATGTTTACAAGATATAATGTCATTGTGACCTTGACCTAAGATCTCTAATGAAGATCAGTTACAGTATATGCATATTGATAAACTAAACTTAATGTGAATATAATAGAATGTAATACTGTAACACCTCCCTCCTTAAAAGAAAAGTTTTGAATACAATGAAAAACTTTTACAATAATATCTGGTGTAGCGAGGGTTACAATTACAAGATGAGGTTGAGACTTACATAACATTTGTTTACAATAGTCAAATACAATAAAAAACATATTACAATAATATTATCAAATCACACTCTAAGTACAATCCTTTTATTATATCAACACAAAGCCTTAGGCAATTGCAGTATAAGTCAAATAGCCTCTTAAAAAAAAATAGAGACATTACACTCTTGAAAGAGTGTCAGCAATTAAATTATCCTTGCCTTTGATGTGTCTTATGTCAAGATTGTACTCTGACAATAACAGACTCCACCTCAACAATCTACGATTCTTGTTCTTCATTCTATGAAGGAATGTCAGCGGATTGTGATCAGTAAATACAGTAACTGCATGAACTGGTGCACTAACATATACTTCAAAATGTTGTAATGACAGAAGTAATGCTAGACATTCCTTTTCTATGGTGGAGTAGTTTTTCTGATGTTTATCAAATTTCTTTGAATAATAACACACTGGATGATCAATACCATCCTTTTCTTGTAATAGGACAGCCCCCATTCCTACATCAGAAGCATCTACTTGAATTTTGAATGGCTTGCTAAAATCAGGTGCAACAAGCACTGGTTGTTCACTTAGTATGGCCTTGATTTTATCAAAGGCTGTATGACATTGTTCAGACCACACATATTTGATGTTTTTTCCAAGTAAATTGGTCAATGGAAGAGCAATTGAAGAGAAATTTGGACAAAACTTCCTATAAAAGCCAGCCATTCCAAGACTTCTCATTAATTCTTTCTTGTTAGTAGGAGCTGGGAGTTGTATTATTGATTCCACTTTGGCACTCACTGGTTTAACATGCCCTTGACCCACCACATGGCCCAGATATTCAACTGTGGCTTTACAAAATTCACTTTTAGCCAAATTGATGGTTAAATTGGCTAAAGAGATTCTTTCAAACAACTTACGCAGCAAACACATGTGTTCATCAAAAGTGTCAGAATAGACAATTACATCATCGATGTAGACACCAGTGTTTTCGAGATCTGCTAATAAGCCATTCATCATTCTTTGAAATGTGGCAGGTGCATTTTTCATACCAAATGGCATAACTTTAAATTGGTACAAACCATCAGGAGTAACAAAGGCAGATACCTGTTTTGCTCTTTCAGTTAATGGAACCCCTAGGAATCCTTTGAGGAGATCAAATTTACTGACATATTTAGCAGTTCCAATTTTGTCAATACAGTCGTCAATTCGTGGTATGGGATAAGAATCGGTCTTTGTTACTCGATTCACTTTGATATAATTAACTACTAGCCTACGTCCACCATTTGATTTTGGTACAATGAAAGCTGGTGAACTCCATGGGCTATTGCTCTTTTCAATTATGTCATTTTCTAACATATAATTGACCTCAGCTCTCAAATCTTCTGATTTTGATGGATTTACTCTGTAAGCATGTTGCTTAATAGGGGTTACATCTTGGACTTCAACATCATGATAAGCTATAGATGTCTTAGTCGGTACATCAGAGAAGATATCAGTGAACTCATGAATTAAATCTGTGACTTGCCGTTTTTGATCATTTGTCACATGGTGCAATTTATGATCTAGATTTGATAATACTTCAGAGTTCTTTAACCTAGACAAACCTTTGATATCTTCATAGTCTAAATCAGTACAATTGATATCATCTGAATCTTGTAGATCAGTTTCTTTTACAAGGGCAGGTGCCAAAGTGACAACAGGTTTAACTGAGTCATGCTCTTTGTCTGGCTCAAAGTACCTTTTCATCATATTGATGTGACACAGTTGTGTTTCTTTGCGCCTATCTGGAGTTTTGACAATATAATTGAGGTCATTGACCTTGGAATCCACTACATAAGGACCAAAGAATTTTGCTTGTAGCGGATTTGTCTGAAGTGGCAGTAATATAAGAACTTTGTCACCAGGCTGAAATGATCTTTCTTTAACTTTTCTATCGTACCAGGTTTTCATTTTATCTTGGCTTTTGAGCAAATTTTCTTTGGCTATTTCACAAGCCTTTGATAGGCGCTCTTTAAACCCAGTGACAAAGTTCAATAAATTAAACCTTTCAGTTTCTGTCAGCCACTTTTCTTTTAGCAATTTAAGTGGACCACGCACAGAATGACCAAATACTAGCTCAAATGGACTGAACCCTAATGATTCTTGCTTAGCCTCCCTGGTAGCAAACAGAAGCAAGGGTATGCCCTCATCCCAGTCTTTCTCATATTCAAAACAGAAAGCTCTAATCATGGTCTTAAGCGTCTGATGGTAACGCTCTAGAGCTCCTTGAGACTCTGGGTGATAGGCACTTGACTTACACTGTTTGATACCCA